CTTACTTTGCAGTGTGGAGGCTTATCTGATTAGCATCGCCCAAGGCAAACAACCTGGCAGCTTTCAGGCCTTAATTGTGTAACAATTAAACCAAAGTAGAGATAAAAAAGGCAAGATAAAACACTAGGAAAAGGAAGGGCTGAGATAACCGTCAGTCAGGTCTGGGGTCGAGCCAAAGCCGGGCTGAACAAACAAAAAGCACAGGTTGCTGTCCTCTGAAGGTGCCCACGGCCACCACGGGGGGAGAGAGAGAGACGGGAGACGGGCAACGGGCGACACCTGAGGAAGAACCACCTTCAGAACAAAGAGCCAAAGAGCCCGGAAAACCCACAACAACCACTAGAAGCACAAAAAACCTTCTTTCACCTGTGGAGGGAAGAGAGAAAAGCGCCGCCTCCTGAGGCAGGAGGTTCCAAAGGCCGGGCAGCCCAATTAAGGAAAGCCCCCCCCCACCTCTTTCCTATTCCTGTCCTGATTTGTAAAAAACAGCTGTCCATTGGTTCAGAGTGGGGCAAGGTTTCTCGGGGGGGGGGGAGTGCTCGGAAGGGGCTGCCCCTCCTGGGACCCTCTCAGGCGCTTGCTCCAGGCGGGCAGGCAGGCTCTTCTCTCTTCCTCCCCCCCCCGGAGACCCACCCCCCCTGGGGAATCCAACCTCCGCCCCAGAGCTCTGCTCTCACCTGCCGATGGATGATCAAACAAATAAATACCAGAGCAGATGATGGAGGAGAGGGGGGCCCTATTCCTCCTCCTCTCCCCCCCCCCGTTGCCCCATCATCCCAATACTTCTATTTTCCCTCTGTTCCTCCTCTGCTTTGCTCATATTTCAATCTAGGTCAGGGCAGACAGAGATTGGGGGGGGGGGGAGAAGAGGCCCCTCCTCTTCCCCCACAGGTTATTAAATTCATTTTCCAGAATAAAACGGAGCTTTGTTTTCAGAAGGCAGCGGATGTCCCTCAGGATCACAAATTCACTTTTGGCCCATGACTTTAAACTGGCCCAGTAGATCTCTCAGGAAGAATCAAACTTAAACCCAAAGAAAAGCAACACAGAAGGACACAGGAGAAGAAAGGCTCAAAAGGAGATTGTTGGGGGGGGGAACTATATAATCCTCGATACGACGATGCGGTGGGGGGGGAGGATATATGTGCCTCAATCTCATGCTAGCCAAGCCACAGCACACCCTTGTTGGAACAGAAGACCAACACTTCACGAAGCCCATGGGGCGCATCAGCATATACGGGATGGAGGTGGGGCCGGCAGATAAATAACACACGTTTCTCCCACTGTCTTCTCTTGCTCTACGTGCAGTTTGCTACTCTTAGGCTTCCTTCCTCCCTCTCCTAGTTCAAGTAATAGCTGCCAGGCAGGCTTGGCACTTGTAGGCCCCAGCTCTGAAAGTTTCCGTCATCACCCCTGCAGGTAAGTGGTTTTCCTTGTTGCCCTTTTAACAGTCTTCAGGTGGGTGCGTCCCTCCAACAGTCACAAGCTTAGCACCCGGCCACTGCCCGCTTCACCCTCTTGCCATGCGCAGGGGTACACTCGTTCGTCCCTAACGGGGAACGAGAGAGACTCAGTCTGGAAGTCTCTGGGGGCAAGCAAAAAACAAAAAAGGTGTCTTCCAAAAACATGGGTCTGAAAAGACTTCCATGGGAAAGGAGAGGAGGGCACAGTCATTTTCTTGGAGACCTCCAGGCTATTTCTGGCCCCGCTGGCTGGCTCCTAGCAGGCCCTGCCTGGCCCGCAGGGCAGGCTGGGGTGGGGTGGGGGGCTCAGCACATCCTGGGGAGAGACAGGAAAGCATCCATGGGCGGGACGCCTTTGCCAAGGATGTGGCCCCCCCCAGAGGAAGGGGGCTTCTTAGTCCTCTCCTGCCTTCGGCTCCGAGATGCGCCAGGCAGGGAAGAGGAGGAAGGAAGGGCGCCAAGGAAAGGACAGAGAAGAACAGCACAGGATCAGACCTCCTGGGGGCATGATGAGCGGAGTGGGGGAAGTGGCCTCTGAGGGCATGAAAAGCCAGCCTTTTCATACCAATTTCCAGATTCCCAGGTTGGCCTTGGCATTTATTTTCGAATCTTAGGCTTGGCGCTTCGGCGACCACAAAGGAAGAGATTTCCAGGCCATGAAAGAAAGAGGGCAGCCTGCACAGTGCAAGGGGGGGGCGGGGATGGGGGGGAGGAGAGCCAGCCCACCCAGCCCAGCTTGCCAGTTCCCCTCCCATCAGGAGGATCCCTCCCCCCCCTTTCTCTCTTTCAAATGTTCCTCTAAATAGATGGTGTCATTTGTAGAAAGAGACTGACCCCTGCTTATAAACAAAGACGGGGCGGGGGGGGGAGGACACAGGGGCACGGATGATGGAATCAGGGAAAGGAAGAGGGGCAGAAAGCACACTCTACCAGCAGGCCACGCTGTCGAAAGTGTTTGCCATCCCCCGGCTAGGGCCACCCGGCCAGCCTCTGCGAACTCCAGGGTCAGGGGCTCAGTCCAGAAGGTCATCCCACAAGGTCACTGGCTGGATCGGGAGCCATCCCAGCCGCCTCCGGCCGCTAGCCTGGACTCTGAAAGGCAACCGGACGTCTCTAAGGGCCACCAGCCAACACAGTGAGGCCATGCTGTGCTCCCCCCGCCCTCGCCCCCCCCCAGGAGGGAGCCATGTCCCTTCACGGGTTCCCTTT